TCCAAATTGTTTTTGCTTAGTTTGATCTCTCCATCAATGTTAAGGGATACTTTTGCTGGATATAGTAATCTTGGTTGGCAGTTCTTTTCTTCTTCTTCTTCTTCTTTTATTGTGAAAATACAGTACAGAAGGGTCACAATTACATGGGCAAGATAATGAGTACATTTCTTATCAAGCATTGTATCCTCCTCCTTTGTTGGCCCTTCCCATCTTCCCCCACCCCCCTACGCAGTCCTCCCTGACCCCCCCCCACCAAAGTTTTCAAGTTCTTTTTCGACATAGCAACCTGTACATCTCATTGTTGCAATGGGTCTACCTGTAGCCCTATTTAAACCATTTGTTTTTCCCCTTCCCCTCCACAAATTATACCAACATCAAATGCAGTGCAAGCAGGGGTTATACTATGGGGGAGGGACATACAAAGCAACAGAGAAATAATCTTATAAATGTGTTAGAAAGAATCGCATTAAAGAAAAAAAAACATTTGAATACATATCTTAGGGTTCATTTCCCTAACATCACCTTATCTGACCTTTTCTTCTTGACTCAGACATATACTAGATACTGCAAATAAGGGAAACCATGGGACCTATGTTTCTTTGGGCCTGGCTTACTTCACTTAATATAATTTTTTCCAAGCCTTTCCATTTCCTAACAAATGGGGCAATGTCATTCTTTCTGATGGAAACATAGAATTCCATTGTATATATATATATATATATATACCACATTTTCTTGATCCATTCATGTACTGAGGGGCATCTGGGTTGGTTCCATATCTTAGCTATAGTTTATAATGCAGCAATAAACATAGTCGTGCTGGTAGCTTTAGTGTGATCTTGTTTGTAAACATTTGGGTAAATGCTCCAAAGTGGGATTGCTGGGTCATAGGGGAGCTCTATGTGGAGTCTTTTGAGGAACCTCCATACTGCTTTCCAAAGTGGTTGAACAAGTTTACTCTCCCACCAACAATGCAGTAAAGTTCCCTTCTGTCCACATCCCCTCCAGCATCTGTTGTTATTAGAGTTCTTGATTTTAGCCATTCTAACTGGAGTGAGGTAGTATCTCAATGTTGTTTTGATTTGCATTTCTTTTATGGCTAGGGAGGTTGAGCATTTCTTCATGTGTCTATTGGACAACCTTCTTTCCTCTTTAGAGAAGTTTCTCTTTAAGTCGTTAGCCCACTTATTTGTTGGGCAGTTGTTTCTTTGAAGATTTGTTGTTGGGGGATTTAATTTTTTGAGTTCAAGGTATATTTTAGATATGTGACCATTGTCTGTTGTATGGCCAGTGAAGATCTTCTCCCAATCCGTGGGCTTTCTATTGATCTTCCTAGCTATATCCTTTGCCATGCAGAAGCTCTGCAATTTCATGCATTCCCACTTGTCCAACCTTTCTTTGCTTTGTTGTGTTTCTGGGTCTCTATTAAGAAAATTTCAGTCAGTGCCAACAAGACCTAGGGTTTCCCCTAATCCATCCTGTAATGTTTTCAGAGTGTCTGCTTTGACTCTGTGGTCTTTGATCCATTTGGAGTTGATTCTGGTGCAGGGTGATATATAAGGATCTAGCTTTAGTTTTCTACAAGTAGTTAACCAATTTTGCCAGCACCATTTACTGAAGAGGCTCTCTTTCTTCCATTCTATTTTTTTTAGCTCCCTTATCGAAGATTAGATGGCTATAGGTCTGTAGGTTAATTTCTGGGTTTTCAATTCTATCCCATTGGTTCTGAGGTCTGTTCTTGTGCCAGTACCAAGCTGCTTTGATTACTCTGGCTTCATAGTAGAGTTTGAGATTTGGTATTGATATTCCTCCTGCAGTGTTCTTTCTGTTGAGGATCGTTTTTGCTATTCGGGGTCTTTTATTGTTCCATATGAATTTTTGGATTGCCTCTTCTATCTCCTTGAAGAATGAGGTTGGAATTTTGATAGGTATCGCATTGAATTTGTAGATAGCCTTGGGAAGTATTGCCGTTTTCACGATGTTGATATTTCCAATCCAGGAGCATGGGAATTTTTTTTTTTTGCCACTAAGTTCTGTTTTGATATCCTTTTTCAAGTTTTTAAGGTTTTCATCATAGAAGTCCTTCACTTCTTTGGTTAAGTTAATTCCTAGATATTTTATTTTTTGTGGGGCTATTACAAATGGAGCTGCTTTCCTAATTTCAGCCACACTTTTCTCATTGTTGGCATACAGAAAAGCCATTGATTTTTGAGGGTTAATTTTATACCCTGCTACTTTGCCAAAGCTTTGAATCAGCTTGAGTAATTTGGGAGTGGAGTCTATGGGATTCTTTAAATACAAGATTTGGTTGGCAGTTCTTCGTTTTCAGGACTTGAACATATCATTCTACCTTTTCCTGGACTCTAGGGTTCCTCTTGATATAGATCTGATGAATTTGCCTTTGTGAATCACAAGGCCTCCCCACCACCTCTCTGATATCCATCCTTGGCTCTGTTCTCTACATTTTCACTGTGATGCAAGATGGAAGTTCTTCTCTGATCAAGTCTAGTATCTGCTGCTCTAGACACGTCCTGGGTGTCCATATCTTCCCTAGGTTTGGGGAGTTTCCTGCTGCAATGTCACTGTAGACGTTCTGTGGTTTTTGTAGTTTTTGTTTGCATCTGAGTTCCCTCTACTCCACACAATTTCCCTTCTGTATTTCTCATCTCAGCTGCTGAGTTTCTTGTCATTTCAAATTAGCTTTCTAGCTCCATCCACTTATTTGAATCCTCTTTAAGCCTTTGACCATTTCTAAACTAGACTTTTGAGTTCTTTCTGTGGCATTTTAGCTCCTGTGATGCCTTGGGTTTTGTCACTAGGGGAGGGAAGCATTCGAAGGCTCCGTAGAGGGTACAAATGAACACAGGGTATAAGTGCTTTCCTTGGGTTTTGGGGTTTCTGCCTTATGATCTGTGCTCCCTTTGTGGGGAGCCATTTGCAGTCCCTGGATGGTGGGCACTGGGAGAGCTGATGGGTCTGCACATCAGCCAGGGCTTCAGGGATGTGTGCACACACAGAGCAGGGAGCAGGATGCCGGGAGCGACAGGGCGAGGTGGTGGGTTCCTGCAGGATGCTTTCAGGGCTGCAGCGATCCCAAAGGGTCCCTACAGGTGGGAGACAGTGACTTAAGGCTCTCGCAGGGCCACGCTCCCCCAGCTCTTCACCTTGGAGCTCAGAGTTACCTAGAAAGGAATTCCTTTCAATTACTGGGTGGCCTCTCTTGGCAGTCCTGCATTTACCTAGCCATTTATAGCCTCCTACTTATTATAGTGTGCAGGCCTTAAAAGACCACAGCAAGGGCTGGGAGGTTGGCTCAGTGGTAGAGCACATGCTTGCCTCACATGTATGAGGCCCTGGGTTCAATTCCTCACCCCACATAAGCAACAAAAAGCCAGATGTGGTGCTGTGGCTGTAGTGGTGGAGCAATCGCCTTGAGCTGAAGAGCTGAGGGACAGCACCCAGGCCCAGAGTTCAAGCTCCACGACCAGCAAAAAACAAAACTAAAACAAACAAACAAACACACAGAAAACAAAGACCCACAGCAAGCAGGTCTGCCTCCACTGTCTATGGTCGTCTGTTTTTGCCATGGATCTTTCTGGGGTTTTAATAGCACGTCATTTTATGAGAACTACAGATGAGTCTCAGCCCCTCTGCTGTGTTGAGTGCTTGGTCCATGAGTGTGTTCCGTGCTCTTATTGACAGAGATGTTCTTGGGTTTGCCTCTCTGCATGGTATGGTTGGCAGCACGCAGGTCTCTGTTTTGTGAAGTTCGTGCTCCTTGTCCATGATGAACTGGGCATTTGCCAGCACTCGCCGCCATCATGGAGCTCCCTGTGTGCGTGGGCCCCGCAGCCTGAGATTTGCTAAGACGCACTTCCTAGTCCCATGTCCCTGCATGCAGGCACCCATGAACCGAGGGAGCTGCTGCTGGTGGGTGGTCTTCCTAGAACTCTGCCAGGCTTCCTCCCACAGGAGCCTATCCCCTCCTCAGCCCCAGGCTCACACAGGCTCGGCCTCCTCTCAGGAAGGCCTGGGCTTGGGCAGGGGTCCAGGCAGCATTCCCAGCTTTCCTACCTGGCCACCCATGCCCTGGACCCTGAGGCTCCACCTCATCCTGCGAGGGACCACCGTCCCTGGACAAATGAAGAACCAAAGAACTGGACTTTATCTGTCAGATTGAAGCTCATATAATATAATATCATTTAAATAAATAAATGATTGAATGAATAAAGCTCACCACAAGAATTGCACCATGCTTTGGAAAGCTTTTTATTTAAGGATGCCACAGCATCCTGTTGGACATGGTAGGTGGAGGATGAGACAGACAAAGCTGGGGGTGGGGGAAAGGAGGGAGAAGAAGGGCAGGGGAAAGAAGGAAAAGGGGGCAGGGAGGAGGGGGAAGGAAGAAACAGAGGGGAAAGGGAGAAAAGGAAGTGAGAAAGAGAGAGGGAGGAAGAGAAAGGGCCAGAGGAAGGAAGGCAGGGCTGCAAGCAGAGAAGGAGGGAAGGAGAGAGGGAGGGAAGGAAGGAGGCAGGCAGTGAGGTAGGCAAGGAGGGAGAGAGCAGTGTCAGGACCAGTGTTGAAGAGCTGGAGGAGTCAGGGATGCTCTGGTTGGGCTGTTCCAGGGATTCAGGGAGCTTAAGGGACCAAGAGGACTGGTGGTGTTGGCTCTTGAGAAGGGGTGGGTCAGCAAAGACAGCAGGAGCAGCTTGGGCTCTGCCCCTGGGTGGGGCTCCCTGCTAGTGCCCTGAATGCTGGCTCTGCAGGAGGCCAGGGTTCTGGAGCATAGTGGGGGTGGAGCTTCAGGTCTGTGAGAAGCAGCAAGACCTTTGCTGTTCCAGCTTACCTGTGTCTGTGATCAGAGCCTCAGACCTTGCACTGGCAGCACACAGGGGCACAGCAGCTGGAGCAGCAGGGTTTGCAACAGCTGGACTGGCAGCAGCAGGGCTTGCAACAGCTGGACTGGCAGCAGCAGGGCTTGCAACAGCTGGACTGGCAGCAGCAGGGCTTGCAACAGCTGGACTGGCAGCAGCAGGGCTTGCAACAGCAGGACTCACAACAGCAGGGCTTGCAACAGCTGGACTGGCAGCAGCAGGGTTTACAACAACTGGACTGACAGCAACAAGGTTTACAACAGCAGGACTCACAGCAGCAGGGTTTACAACAGCTGGACTGACAGCAGCAGGGTTTGCAACAGCAAGACTCACAGCAGCAGGGTTTGCAACAGCTGGACTGACAGCAGCAGGGTTTGCAACAGCTGGACTGACAGCAGCAGGGTTTGCAACAGCTGGACTTGCAGCAGCAGGGTTTGCAACAGCTGGACTTGCAGCCCCCACAAGAACCACAGCCCCCCTTGCAGCCCCCACAGGAGCCACAGCCTCCCTTGCAGCCCCCGCAGGAGCCACAGCTCCCCTTGCAGCCACAGCTGGAGCAGGAGCAGGAGCAGGCTGGCACACAGCAGCTCATGGTTGTGGTGGTGGAAGGTGGAGGAGGTGAGAGGAGCAGGTGGAGAGAGAGGTGAGTGGTGTGGGGCCTCCTGGCCTGGCCTTTATGTCCCTGCGGGGTCAGGTGTGGGCTGGACACGAGGTCACTTCCTGGTCTGGGGCACATGGTCACTTCCTGGTCCTGTGTGGGCTTTCCCTGGGAAGTTGTGTGTCATTGCAAAGTAACAAGCATGGATGAGTCACGTGGCACACTTCCTGAGACACACTTCCTGGGACAAACCTTGCAGGACAAATGAAGCAGGACACTTGGCAAGCGGGGCTGGGCTCTGTCCCTGCTGCCCGCCGCACTCACCCCTCCATGTCTGTGCTGTTCCAGAAGGTCTTGAACAACAGCAGGCTCTCCACGGGCTCCCTGGTCTTGGGGTTTCATGTAGTCAGAGTTCTGGGCCTGCTCTTGACGCTAGATCCTGTGTGAGAGAGAAAGTTCTGGAGCAGTCACTCTCCCCTATGCCGGTGGTCTGGGACCCTGTGGCCTGGGCTCTGGGGCTCCTTCCTCTGAGCTTCCTTGGTGACTGACCTGCTTCATTCTCTGGCATCCGGCCAGCCTGGGGCTCTTTGCTCTGGTTAGTTGGGTCAAGATTTGTCACTCGGGTTTATTCTTTCAAAGAGTGCTGCTTCATCCATTGCTCTGCACTATTATTTCATTTTTCACTCATCAGCTCTGATGCTTTGTAAAAAATAATTCTTGTTTCTTTAAAGGGGATGCCAAAGGGGTTATAGTTGCATAGGTCAGGTAGAGTTCATTTCATTTGGGACAGTGTCACCCCTGCCCTCAGTCTGTCCTAGATTTTCCCTCTGCCCCTGCCCACAAGTTCTAGAGTCCATTTTCCACATTGTGTCCAGTGAGGAACACGGCTGCATTTGTCCACCCTTTGCTCGATTCTGATCTTTATTGTCTCTCTCCTTCTGCTGACTTGGGGCTGGGCTTGCTCTTCCTTCTCTTCAGACGTGGATGGGCATGCTTAGCTCTGATCTTTCATGTAGGTTCCCATCGCTACAAACCTTCCTTCTACCCCTCGTTTCATTGCTGTGGAATTGCAAACACTGAAAAGTGTCATCTTTACTTCCAGTTGATTCTAGGAAGCCTTTTGTTCCCCTCTCCTCCTTCTTCAATGAAAGGTCTATTGGGTGAGTGTGTTTTCTCTCTGTGATGTCTTTTTGTCTTCTTGTACTATTATACAGGTGGCTGTAAGGAAATAGTCAGTTATTTTCGACTTGTTGGAAGACATGGGCTGAAGTGTGATCTATTTGGAGTCATTCCATGTTTGGCTTAGAAGAGGGAGCGTGCTGCGGCTCCAGGTGGACTAGACCGCAGACATGTGCTGAGGCCTTCAGCCTAACGCTGACTTGCCTTCTGTAAGGTATATTCAGTAGGTAGTTTCACTAGGTGGCCCATGAAGAGAACACCACTCGGTATTCAGACAGGAAAAGAAGTGTATTTACTGCCCTGCTGCCCCCATGGTGCATGGTGGAGAGGCATGGTGGAAAGCGGAGACTCACCCCAGGCCAGGACTTATCTGGGCCAGGGATGGGAAGAGGTGTGGCCAGGTGGAGGAAAGGTGTGGCCACACTGGATCTGGATCTGACCTCAGGGCCTAGGACCCTCCTCTGGTCAAATGGGAGCCAGGACCACTGGCAGCCCAAGATGTGATCTAGCAGGAGGGGCAGTGACTACTTCCAGGTGTGCCGGTTCCCTAGGTAACACAGACCCTGGGGGGAGACTTAGCCAGCAGGTGGGGAGGTCTCTGCACAGGGCCAGCTTGCCCCAGGGCAGACATGACACCTTTGTTAGATTTTTGGAGGGGTGTCGGGATCATCTCTGGGTAGAGTGGGGTATTGAAATCTCCTACTTTTGAAAAAAATCAAGGATTGATTAATTGATTTTCCCCCCACCAATACAATAGGAAAAGTCACACAAAGGAAAGATTTCTTGCTCCCCATGAAGTATCATTGCATCTAGACCCTCTGTTATTTTATGCCCTGCAGCGTTTTTGTCTCGTGCAGCATTTAATGCTGTGGATCTCGGTGGATCACTTCTTTATGCATGTGTCCTGGCTTCTATCTCTTGGGGTGGATTTTGCTTGGAGTCTACATTGGGAGATATGAGCACAGGTACTCCAGTTACCATCTAGCTTCTCTTCACTGGGCATGTGATCTTCCATCCTTTCCCTCAGCCTGTGAGTGTCTTTGCCAGTGACCTGAGTTTCTTACCCAGTGACATGAGTTTCTTTCCACTTAAACTTCTCCTCCTCGTCCTCCTCGTTCTCCTCCTCCTCTCATCTTCCTCGTCCTCGTCCTCGTCCTTGTCCTCCTCCTCCTCCGCCGCCTTCTTCTTTTTCTTCTTTCTTTTAATTTTATCAGCCAATATGAGCCTTTTAATTGGAGAGTTGAGACCATTTTCCTTTGGGTCATTGTGGACTGTCATGAGCTGATGGTCATCATTCAGTGTGTCTTTTTCTGCTTATTCTGCATAGTTTTATTTTTATATCCTCCTTATTTGTTTTGGGAGTTGGCTGATTTTCATTTTGTATTTCAAGTCTTTTATTGGTATTGTAAGGGTGATATATAGGGGGTTACGGTTACATAAGTCAGAAAATGAGTACATTTCTTTGTTTTTAACAGTGTCTCATCTTCCCTCATTCTCTGAGTTTTCCCCTCCTGAACCCCTCCCCCACAAATTGTATAGTTTGTTTTCAAAGTGTCTAGTGAAATATCACGGCAGCGTTTGTTCACCCTTTGTCCCTCCATTTCAGTACCTCCCTTACCCTTCCCCAACCTGATAAACTTACATACAAGACACCAGGTACAGAAATCTAAAACAGGACAAAGGAGAAAAAATAGCAAAATAACCAAACCCTCTTGTTTCCATTTCTTGGAGTTCATTTCAGTAAGTGGCATTTTATAGGATCAGATGCACATAGCTATTGGGCCTTTTTGATCCTCTCCTGAGAATATCTGTCTTTATTCTCACTGTGTGAGTTTTTAGAGTCCTGTATAATTCACCATGTAGTTGGCTGGCTTTCTGAGTTGAACATGCTCCATTCTTTCCCAGTTCTTGTTTGTTCAGCCATTCCTCTCAATATCTGTCCTTTCCTCTCATTATCCATCTTTCCCTCTTGATATCCATCCATCCTTCCCATTATACATCCATCCCTCTAGTTATCCATCTGTCCTTCTTGTTAGACATCCGTTCCTCTCATTAGCCATCCATCCCTCTCATGATCTATTTGTCCCTGTCGTTATCCATCCATGCCTCCCCAGCTTTCCCATCATCTCCAGCTTGCTTCCTCATCTCTGTATGGCATTTCTTTCTTTCTTTCATTTTCTTTTGTGTGTGTGTGTGTGTGTGTGTCTGGTCCTGGGGCCTGAACTCTGGGCCTGAGCACTGTCCCTCAGCTCTTGAGCTCAAGGCTAGCACTCTACCACTTGAGCCACAGCACCCCTTCTGGCTTTTTTCTTTTTGCTTATGTGGTGCTGAGGAATGAAACCCAGGACCTCATGCATGCAAGGCAAGCACTCTACCACTGAGCCATCTTCCCAGGCCCTGGGATTTCTTTAGTAGATATTTTGATGGCAGCTTTTGGTCCCAAATTGTTTTTGCTTAGTTTGATCTCTCCATCAATGTTAAGGGATACTTTTGCTGGATATAGTAATCTTGGTTGGCAGTTCTTTTCTTCTTCTTCTTCTTCTTTTATTGTGAAAATACAGTACAGAAGGGTCACAATTACATGGGCAAGATAATGAGTACATTTCTTATCAAGCATTGTATCCTCCTCCTTTGTTGGCCCTTCCCATCTTCCCCCACCCCCCTACGCAGTCCTCCCTGACCCCCCCCCACCAAAGTTTTCAAGTTCTTTTTCGACATAGCAACCTGTACATCTCATTGTTGCAATGGGTCTACCTGTAGCCCTATTTAAACCATTTGTTTTTCCCCTTCCCCTCCACAAATTATACCAACATCAAATGCAGTGCAAGCAGGGGTTATACTATGGGGGAGGGACATACAAAGCAACAGAGAAATAATCTTATAAATGTGTTAGAAAGAATCGCATTAAAGAAAAAAAAACATTTGAATACATATCTTAGGGTTCATTTCCCTAACATCACCTTATCTGACCTTTTCTTCTTGACTCAGACATATACTAGATACTGCAAATAAGGGAAACCATGGGACCTATGTTTCTTTGGGCCTGGCTTACTTCACTTAATATAATTTTTTCCAAGCCTTTCCATTTCCTAACAAATGGGGCAATGTCATTCTTTCTGATGGAAACATAGAATTCCATTGTATATATATATATATATATATACCACATTTTCTTGATCCATTCATGTACTGAGGGGCATCTGGGTTGGTTCCATATCTTAGCTATAGTTTATAATGCAGCAATAAACATAGTCGTGCTGGTAGCTTTAGTGTGATCTTGTTTGTAAACATTTGGGTAAATGCTCCAAAGTGGGATTGCTGGGTCATAGGGGAGCTCTATGTGGAGTCTTTTGAGGAACCTCCATACTGCTTTCCAAAGTGGTTGAACAAGTTTACTCTCCCACCAACAATGCAGTAAAGTTCCCTTCTGTCCACATCCCCTCCAGCATCTGTTGTTATTAGAGTTCTTGATTTTAGCCATTCTAACTGGAGTGAGGTAGTATCTCAATGTTGTTTTGATTTGCATTTCTTTTATGGCTAGGGAGGTTGAGCATTTCTTCATGTGTCTATTGGACAACCTTCTTTCCTCTTTAGAGAAGTTTCTCTTTAAGTCTTTAGCCCACTTATTTGTTGGGCAGTTGTTTCTTTGAAGATTTGTTGTTGGGGGATTTAATTTTTTGAGTTCAAGGTATATTTTAGATATGTGACCATTGTCTGTTGTATGGCCAGTGAAGATCTTCTCCCAATCCGTGGGCTTTCTATTGATCTTCCTAGCTATATCCTTTGCCATGCAGAAGCTCTGCAATTTCATGCATTCCCACTTGTCCAACCTTTCTTTGCTTTGTTGTGTTTCTGGGTCTCTATTAAGAAAATTTCAGTCAGTGCCAACAAGACCTAGGGTTTCCCCTAATCCATCCTGTAATGTTTTCAGAGTGTCTGCTTTGACTCTGTGGTCTTTGATCCATTTGGAGTTGATTCTGGTGCAGGGTGATATATAAGGATCTAGCTTTAGTTTTCTACAAGTAGTTAACCAATTTTGCCAGCACCATTTACTGAAGAGGCTCTCTTTCTTCCATTCTATTTTTTTTAGCTCCCTTATCGAAGATTAGATGGCTATAGGTCTGTAGGTTAATTTCTGGGTTTTCAATTCTATCCCATTGGTTCTGAGGTCTGTTCTTGTGCCAGTACCAAGCTGCTTTGATTACTCTGGCTTCATAGTAGAG